TATCATATAATATCGTGTATAATAATACTCTAGGACTTTTAAATAATTATTATGTGATATAATAAAGCAAAAACAACAAATAACAAAAAATCTGAAAAAACGATTTTACCATAATTTGTAATACCATCACATAATATCATGGTATAATCATGCATTTAATTTTAATTAAATGTGTGGACAGAAATCATGGCACTATATATATATTATTTAAATCCAATATCTTAAATAATGAAGAAAAAATGTGTAAATTTGAAAATCTGCATAACATGATTTTCTTTATTTAAATCATGCATAAAATTCCTTTTTTGTTTCTTAAAAATCTTACACAAACACACAATACTCTTAAAAACTATTTTTCATTTCGTGCACATGCACAAAAAAGTAAAAATTTTATATTATATTTATGCATAAAATATATAAAATTTTATATAAGATAATAGATAATTACATTTTAAATTTTGACTATATGAAAATATAGTGTAAATATATATGTAACTTACGTATGAATATTTATATTGATGCTAATACAAGTCTCGCACCCCGACCGGCTGGAAATCGTCTCGAGCTCGCTCTTCTTGCCGGTAGAGCACGGAACCTGCACGCAACTCTCACAACGGAGGTGTTTTCCGGTGAAGAGCCTCCATCGCTCAAGTCAGATCAAGATGAAAATATAAGTATCAGTATGTAAGTGTATGAGAGATTGTGTTTAGAATGAGAGTTCTCGCCCCTATTTATAGGGGCGAGTTACCTGTTCTACACGCGCGACCTGGGCAAGTCCGACTGACAGTCCTCCTGCTCGTCCGTACGGTTGCGCGCCTCCACTATCTTTTTGTGTCAGAAAACGCGTCAGATGCGTCAGAGAATGTCAGAGTTCGTTATCGCCGTGGACCACTCATCGTACGCCGCGTGTCGCCTTCCCATGTGCTGAAGATTCTCACGCCTTTCCCGATGTTTGACCATATCTGGAGCGGATGCCAAGCTGTCCCTAATGTGTGAAGTGGTCGATTCCACGACCACGCTTATCTGACCATCTTTTCTCGACCAAATTCTCGAGCAGCCAATACTTGTCTGATACTATTGAACCCGTTCTTCTTCGTTGTCTGCCTTCTTTCCTTAGTTACGAACGTCCGACCTTGTTCGACCAAACCGCCGACCCATTTCACTCGGTTGACCCGATGAACCGGTCTAGTATATAATGTATCCCATATCATCTACTCCCCCCCACTCTGGTCGAGTTTGAATGACTCGATCTAAGAGTAGGCTTCATCTGTGCTGCCGAGGTTCCACTCTGTTATTTCAACCACCTGGCGTGCTTTTGACCTTTTTTCGACCGTCCTCCCTCGTAACCGCCATTTTTGTGTTTTGAATTTCAAATTCCGCTACTTGCCTCTTTTGACAGACAGACGTCCATTCGTATGTCAGGCCTCATCATTGTTCCGTAACCCGTGCCACCTCGAATCCTGTGTATATTTTAATGTCTCCCTTGTGACAACCGTTAGATTTCTCACTTAAATCTTATGGTTCACATTCGCGCACCTGTTCGCTTGTCTCTTCATCTTAACCTTTAAAATTTTGTGATACAACGGTTGGCAATCTTTCATGTTCATTCTTCCACCGTATAAGGGGTTCAAATTTTTCTTGTTATCCATGATCCCGGGCTAGTCTTTTTGCCATGACGATCTACCGCCGAGACGAAAAGATCCGGTCAAGCACCCGACACCAGATGAGGGGAGGCTTCACATGCATGGCGTTTTACAGTTCGTGCCTCCTTTGAGGCCACCTATGAAGCCGCCATGGACCGCTTGAAGAAAAGCGGAGTAATAAGTCGAGCCAACGACAATAAAAAAGGCGCTTGTTGGGAGGCAACCAAATGGTGTGCGGCGCGACTTCTTCTCTTTGATAAGGTGAACTCTTTCATTTACCTCATATTTTGCTTTCTTATTTATGCCAACTCTAAGTTTGGGGAGGCTTACTAGAGTTAGAGTTTATGTGATGGATTGCTATATATATATTTGTTTATTTTCTTGATTAGTGTGAGCTTATTTGTATGTGGAATTTGCGATGATGATATGAGAGCTATTTGGTTATTTTGTGCTAGTTTAAGTAGCTTGAGTTGATTATATTTGGTTAAATATCTTAAGGTGTTGTTTTGGGATCATGAACATAAGAGTGGATATTTTTGTGATTTATTTATGGTGAGTTGATTTTGAATCGAATTGTGTTGTTGAGATGTGCTTGTGATTATCTTATACAATGTTGACTATGTTTGGTGACTTGATGTTGAAAGTCGGTGTTTGATGTCTCGTAGTCGAAAATAATAGAATAATGTGGAAGGAGGAAAAAATAATTGGTGAACTCTCGAGCTCGCGGGCACGCGGGCGTGAGGGGGGCAGCAGTGGGGTGCACTCTCGAGCTCGCGGGGCTCTTCGCGGGCGCGCGGGGCTCTTCGTGGGCGTGAGGGCTTGGTGCACTCTCGAGCTCGCAGGGCTCTCCGTGGGCGTGCGGCGCGGGCATGGTCTGGTGACTATGGCTCGATTTGCTCTAACTTTTCACCCGCTTCTCCGATTGACTCGAAACTTTGACCCACACTCCTCAAATATTTTTCTCCTCAAATCTTTTCACCCGCTTCTCCGATTGACTCGAAACTTTGACCCACGCAGGCATGGTCTTGTGACTATGGTCTGGTGACTATGGCTCGATTTGCTCTAACTTTTCACCCGCTTCTCCGATTGACTCGAAACTTTGACTCACGCTCCTCTAATTGTGGTAGGCTTAATAACAGGTCTGAAAGTTTCATAGAAATCTATGCCTGTTGTTTGACTATAGTCTTTAGCAACAAGTCTAGCATATACCTTGCTATAGATCCATATGCATGCCTCTTGAGTTTAAAAACCCACTTACAACCTATGATAGATCTGTTAGGAGGGATAGGTACTAAGGACCAGGTGGAATTGCTCATAAGAGCCTGGTATTCTGCATCCATAGCTGCCTTCCATTGAGGATGTTGTAGAGTATCATAATAAGATGAAGGCTCTATTTCATCAAGATGGGTGAGAATAGATCTTGGTTTCAAAGAGCCTGTTTTAGACCTGGTCACCATGTGGTGGACATGAGGAGCTGCAGAAGAAACATTATTAGCATTTTGTATCGAAGAAGCAACCTGATCAGATAAAGTATCATTCAATATTGGAAACTCAACAAATAAAGGTATAGTGGAGTGAGAGGAAGGTGAAAGAGAATGAGTGGTCTCAGGAGAAGAAGATGAATGAGAAGAAATGCTTGGATGAGAAGGTGGTGTGTGGACTGAGGAAACTGAGTTTGGAAACAGAGAATGAGATGGCGATTGGACTGGAGTAATAGAATGTGTTGATTCATGATGAGAAAATGATTGGACTACAAGATGGAGGTATAAATGAAGGAAGTGAGGTTGTATTTTTCAGAATAACGGACTGAGTCTTTGCAAAAAGGAAATGTTGTTCATCAAAACAATTTCTCTAGTAACAATGACTTTACCAGAGGAAAGAAGAGCTTTGTACCCTTTGTGTTTTGAACTGTACCCAAGAAAAGTGGCTGGAAAAGATCTAGGTTGAAGTTTGTGAGAGTTATAAGGTCTTAAGTTAAGATAGCCAAGAGAGCCAAAGACTTAGAGAGTAGAATAATTTGGACCGTGGCCATATAGCTTTTGTAAGGGAGAAATGAAATGAAGTGCTTTACCATGTAGTCTGTTGAGAGTATATACAGCTGTACTAAAAGCATCATCCCAATATTTCAAACGAACATGAGCATGATAAAGAAAGAAAAGTCCCATTTCAACAATTGATCTATGCTTTCTTTCTGCCACTCCATATTGGGCTGGAGTGTAAGGGCAAGAAAACATATGACTGATCCCAGACTCAGTAAAGATGGACCTAAGGTTTCTATATTCACTTTTCCAATCACTCTGAATTGTCTTCATCTTATGATTCAATTGAGTCTCAGCCAAGTTCTTAAAGTGAATGAATGCTTCTTTAACCTCAGATTTAAGTTTAAGAAAATAAATCCAAGTAAATTTAGAATATTGATCAGCAAAGCACACATAATACTGAAAGCCATTGATTGATTTGATAGGAGATGGCCCCCAAACATCAGTATGAGCAAGTTCAAGTGGTTGAGTGTAAACAGTTTGAGAGTTAGTATGAGGGAGAGCATGGCTTCTTGAACGTGCCTGTATACAGGATTTTTATCGCCATTATTGGGGTTGTGATCACCAGGGCATCTGAGTGGGGGTGGTCGAACAAAAATGCATCCTCGTCAGTGAAAGAGATTTTGTTGGGAGTTGATTCAGCTGTCGGCCTGCTTCCGGCGTGCATCACTCTCTGCCCGACGTAATAGGCTTGCCGGGCATAAGCCTTTGTTTGTCTCCTCGAAAGGAGGGATTCACCTCGGCTCGTGTTTACGCGCCGGGGTGGGAAGTCAGTCCGGTTGGTATTCAACTGCGGGGACCAATCTCTTTTCCTTTCTACGGAGGTGCCGACCTCGCCTTGATGGGCCGGGCTGAACACCATGATCTCATTAGGGGCTCCTTGCTACGGTTTTTTCCTCCGAGGGTTCATGTCGGCATCTTCATCGCTGTCGAGGCCGTCCCCAATACGGCCTCCCTTCTTTCTCTTCTCACCGAAATGAGTGAACTTTGTAACCTGCGGGTCGTCAATCAGCTTGAGCAGCGCCGCGATCAAGTTACGGCATTGGTCTGTGTTATGCTCGTGCGCCTTGTGATAGGTACAGTATCGGGATTTATCTACCTTGTCTTTGTCGGTGAACATGGGTTTTGGGTCAGGAAACAACCCTTTTGTTTTGATTTCTTCGTAGACCATGGCGGCACATACAGAGAAGACGCCCTGGAAGCTTTCTTTAAGCTCCTCGGCTCTCTGCCTTCTCATGGCCCGAACCTCCGCGAACGACTTGCTGGGCTTGCCTGATTTCTCTTTATTCTTATCCTTGCTCGGCGTAGCGTTCAGCATCGGGATGGATAAAGATTCCTCAGCCATAATATAATTTTGGGCCTTGATGAGGAATTCCTGGTAGGTGGTCAGCTTGTTCTGGCACAGGGACCATTTGAACAGAGTTTTTGGCTTCAGCCCGACTTGCACGGAGACGAGCAGGGTCTCTGGATGGCACTGTTCTATATTCTGAACTCGGTCGTTGAACCGAGTGATGTTGTCTTTCAGGCTCTCGTCCTCGCCGTGGACGATGTTGGCAATGGATTCCTTGGTGACGGGGTTCGGTCGAAACTCTCCGTTAAAAGTAAGATGGATTTATTGAAAATAAATGTCAGACCGATCATGAGGGAAACGGCTAGTAAAATGAAGGAAGTCTTAAGTGTTTTATTGTTGAATTTCAAGAGAAGACGTAAGGAACACCGATTGAAGATGGGCCAGATTGTTCGCATGAAGATTGATCCATGGATTGAAGACTTAATTTCGTCCATGTCATGAAGCCCAATTGGAGTGTCATTTATTTTGTCTATGTTTAGCATTTAGAAGATCAAAATATCTCTTAAATTATCTTAGAAGTCAAAAGGTCATTCGAACTTCATGTAAGCTTAATTATGAGGTCAAAGGAGTGTCTTTAGTGCTTCATGAGTCCCAAAAAAAGGGGATTAACTCATTAGCACCATTTGTAGCCTTTAAAAATGCCATTTTATGTTTTAATGAAATATATGAATTTTGCTGAATATTAAGAAATCACTATTGTGAGATTGAATTCTCTTTTGTAGAGTTTCAATTTTTTTTAAGAACTTATCAAGATACTTGAGCAAGATCTTGTGGCGTTCACCATACCGAGGTTCTTAGCTGAATATATAGCTAACGGGTCGAGGTTTTTAAGCTCTAGGTACGATCAAACTAGATCTCCGATCTGGGATTCCGCTGCCTATTTTATACGTGTGGTTCTTGGATCAATATATCCAACGGGTCTCACATCTTATCCGTATCAGTTTGGTATCAGAGCAATCTGGTATTGATCTGATTTCTATCTTTTTCTTATCCATCTTAAAAAAAATAAAAAAAAAAAAAGTTCCTTGATTTTTCTACAAGGATTGTTAAAAAATCTGTTCGTTAAAATAAAAAAAAAAATTGTGCAACAAGGATTGGAAGGATCGAATAGAGACAAAAAATCTCATACAATCAAATTTCCAAATGTTAGAGCGGATCGAAAAGAAGATGTTGCGTATGGGGATCAAGTTGCCACAAAAATATTCCGAGTACTTGGCCGCTGAACTTTGGGCGAACCACCCGGAGTCGCGACGCGGGGGGGCGTATGCGGACAACGTACCCAAAGGTAAGAGCGTGGTGGCACTATCGAGCAATCCGAGGGTCAAGGGCTATGAAGGGAGGATCACCGATAAAAGACGCAAGGAATACTCATTCTTGTTTGAGTTTCCGGACTTCATTAAAGATGAGGAAAACAAGTTTCCATTAGACTTTCTGGGATACCATGAAGATGTGAAGGCCACCAAACTCGTGGACGAGCACGTGTCAACCGAGAACAAAAGTTCACCTTTGTTTGAAGACGAGGTCAAAGATGTGCCGGAGTCAGTGGAGTATGATGGTCCTCCAAATTGGGACCACGAGATTGATGATGTTGTGGTGGAGGTCGATGAGGACCACAAGGAGAAAACACACAAGTATGACGAGATTGATGATGTTGTGGTGGAGGTCGATGAGAGCCACAAGGAGAAGACGACCAAATTCAGCGAGGTCCTATGTGATGTTGTGCCAATGCGTGCTAATCATATACATTTGGATTCGAGGACGAATCTTTTTGAAGAAGAAGGGAATGACGGGGTTCGGTCGAAACTCATCGTTAAAAGTAAGATGGATTTGTTGAAAATAAATGTCAGACCGATCATGAGGGAAACGACTAGTAAAATGAAGGAAGTCTTAAGTGTTTTATTGTTGAATTTCAAGAGAAGACGTAAGGAACACCGATTGAAGATGGGCCAGATTGTTCGCATGAAGATTGATCCATGGATTGAAGACTTAATTTCGTCCATGTCATGAAGCCCAATTGGAGTGTCATTTATTTTGTCTATTTTTAGCATTTAGAAGATCAAAATATCTCTTAAATTATCTTAGAAGTCAAAAGGTCATTCGAACTTCATGTAAGCTTATTTATGAGGTCAAAGGAGTGTCT